ATACATACACATTTATAAATTCAATATATATATTATTTCATTTCCATTTAGTTTGTTGAAGTATTAACATAACTCAAATTAAATAAAACTAAAACTTAATAAAAAGACCTATACAGACATAATAAATTCAGACATCATTTAACTTAAATTAAAATAAATAACAAATACAAATAATACAAATCAAACGACAGTAGTTTATCAGTAATCCTAAAAAATAACACTGCCAAACACGCATGCTAAAAAACAACAACTTACTTACACATAGTAAGAAATGGTTATAAAAACTGAAACAGAAGCGAAACAAGTAATAGGAAAGAGGAGAAATAAAAAGCGATACTTATCCTTTGCCTATTAACAGTGTTTTTTATTATTATCAATGTTGAAAACAATTTGTGCTGCTCAATATTTTTGTGTAAACCGTAATAATTATTATTTTTTTTTTTAGAATTCTTTGAGAAATAGAACATTTAAAAGAACAGCATTTATTTGAAATATAAATCTTTTGTAACAATATAGATGTCTTTATTGTTAGTTTGGATCAAATTAATACATCCTTGCTGAATAAAAGTTCAGCAAGAACATTTTTTTTTTTTTATTGAGTACCATTAATAATTTATTATAATTGAGACTGGAGTAATGATGCTGAAAATTCAGCTTTGACTTCAAAGGAGTAAATTGCATTTTAAAGTATATTAAAAAAGAAAACATTAAACCAGAAAATTTTAAATTGGAAAAATATTTTTTTACTGTATGTTTGATCAATAAATGCAGCCTTGGTGAACATAAGAGGCTTGTTTAAAAAAAAAAAAAAACCTTTTGAATGGTAGTGTATATGTGCACATGTCCCATTAATGTAGCTGCCTTGAAGTTTTGCTATACAGTGGTAGCATATACAACCAACTACAACGAGTTAATTGGCCTCTTCATGACAAATGGACCCTGGACAGATGAAGAATTCATGATCCTAACATGAGGACAGATGGATTATCGGCAGCCTCATACATTTGTGCACTTGTACACACTTTTGTGCACCTACGGTGGCCGAGAGAGCTCAACGCACTGCAACTTAAGAAAACACATGCAAATTGAAAAAACACCAGCAAATTAAGAAAACATCTTCATCAGTTTGACAACACACGCGCTGCAAATCCTCACAACACATGCAAATGAAGAAACGTGCTGCAAATCCTCACAGCACATGCAAATGAAGAAACGCGCTGCAAATCCTCACAACACATGCAAATGAAAAAACGCGCTGCAAATCCTCACAGCACATGCAAATGAAGAAACGCGCTGCAAATCCTCACA